TCAGGACACTACAACCTAAAACCCTTAGGGGCTGTTTGGTTCATTTCCATAAAATTATGGAAATGAATTCTCTGACAAGAAGCCAAATTTAAAAATACTTTAGGATATCTAAGGAATCCAAAACTTGTGTTTGATATGGAATGATAAAGTAAAGAATAGAAAAGCATATCCAAAACTCAAGTTTGTTTCATTTCCAAATAATAAGAAGAGTTGTAAGAGGAAATGATGAGTTGTCAGCGGGTTGTCAGCTTTCTAGCCTATTTTCTAGCCAAAAAAAGGAATTAGGCTGTCCAAAAAAGTCATTGTTTAGAGGCTTTTTAAGAAACATTTTCTTTAAAAAAATATTTAAACAAACCCAACTTTTGGAATCCTAAAATGGCAAAAAACTTACTTTTGTTCCAAATCCTAAAAAACACATTGTTTCCAATAATTTAGGGTAAACCAAACACGCCCTTAACACCCAATGCATAACCTAGGAATATGCATTTCTTCGCTCGCGGCTCAAGTTTTCCTTGACTAACATGCACATATGCAGGACAACCAAATATTCTAAGATTAGAATAACCTGTAGGCTTACCGAACCAAACCCCCTATGGAGTTTTATAACTAATAGCAGTAGATGGTGACCGATTCACTAAGTAACAAGCTGTATTCACTACTTTTGCCTTAACATCATACAATGAGCTTTCTCTAATATGGTTCTGTTCATACGTTCTGTCACTCCCTTCTATTGCGACATGCGAAGGACTATACGATGTCTAACCATTCCCTCCTTCTTACAGAACTCATTAAACTATCCTCCATAAAACTTAAGGTCATTATCAGTTCTAAGCCTCTTAATCAACCTCCTAGTCTGCTTCTCAATCAAAGACTTTCACTGCCTAAAAGTCACAAACACCTCATCTTTATGTCTCAAAAAGTAGACCCAAACCTTCCTAGAGTAGTCATCAATGAAGGTTAGCAAATATCTGTAACTACCACCCCTCGAGGCAACTTGAGAAGGTCCCTAAAGATCTGAATAGATATAATCCAAAGTACATTTAGTTTGATACACTGTCATACTAAAGCTGGCTCTTTTCTTCTTTCCAAAGATGCAATGCTCGTAGAATCCTAATTTTCCTGTACTCTGTCCACATAAAAGACCCTTCTTACTCAACTCAGTTAATCCATGCTCACTCATATGACTAAGTCTCATATGCCATAATCTGGTAGTATCAACTCCTGACATTGACGATGCAACTGTAGTCGAGCCGATAATGGTAGAACTCTACATAACATACAAGCTGCCGATCTTCTTTCTTTTCATAACCATAAAAGAGCCTTTTGTAACCCTAAGAACTCCACCTTCACCTAAAAAATTACATCCAATGTTATGAAAAATGCCCAAAGAGATGAGATTCTTCCTTAAACCTGGAACATGCCTAACATCTGTCAAAGTCCTAATGACTCTATCATGCATCTTAATCCGAATTGTGCCTTTCCAAACAATCTTGCACGAGGCGTTGTTCCTATACAAACAACTCCACCATCAATAGCTTCATAAATGGTGAATCAATCCTGATTAGGACACATATGATAGGATCAACCCGAATCCAAAATTCAATCATCCATGCTCCTGTTTATATCATCTGTAGCCAACAAAATTACATCTTCATCAATATCAACTTCAACGGAGTCCTCCTTTGATTTTTCTTTATACTCTTCTTATTTATTTTTGTTCTTCAATCTGTAACAATCGGTCTTGATGTCCCATTTCTTCTTGCAATATCTACAGGTCAAATTCCTGCGCTTCGGCTTATACTTGTTAGAACAAACAAGCCATCAGCTTTATCACCACTTTTACTTATGGTTAACTCTTTGTCGATCTTCTCTTTATTCAATAAGTTCTCTTTGACGTCCTTGATACCAATAGAATCTCGACCGTAAATCATAGTATTCCTGAAGTGTTTATAGGAAGGCGGCAAAGAACATAATAACAATAGGGCTTGATCTTCATCATCGAACTTAACATCAATCTTACTCAAATCTGTAATCACAGAATTAAATTCACCAATATGAGATTTGATGGGTGTTCCTTCCGACATCCGAAGTGTGTACAAACGTTGCTTCAAGAGGAGGTGATTAGTGAGCGACTTCGTCAAATACAAATCCTCCAATTTAGACCACAAATCAGTGGTTGTTTTCTCCGTGAGAACTTCTTGCAAAACTTCGTTTGTCAAATATAACTGGATCGTTGTGAGAGCTTTATCATCCAACTCGTTCTAATCTTCCTCCGTCATAGTAGCATGTTTCTTCAACTTACTGAACAAAGTCTTCTTCAATCCACTCTATGTCAATACGATGATCATCCTAACTTGCCAAAGGCTAAAACTGATGTTGTCGTCAAACTTCTCGATATCTCACTTCGTAGTAGTTATCATCATCTTCTCGTCCGATCGATAGCCGATGGCTCTGATACTAATTTTTTATGACAAACTCCCCAAGATAAGCTAATACAATCACACGAGAGCACGAAAAATATCAAGAACACACGAACACAAAGATATACGTGGTTCGACTTGTAGCACACACGAACACAAAGATATACGTGGTTCGACTTGTAGCCTACGTCCACGGGCGAAGGAGGAGAAAACTTTACTAATTGTGAGGAATATTACGTGGTTCGACTTGTAGCCTACGTCCACGGGCGAAGGAGGAGAAAACTTTACTAATTGTGAGGAATATAAAGTGGAATTTCTCAATCTCTCAATCCTAAATAACACCCCAAAAGCCTAATACAACTCTCAACTAAAGGAACAAAAGAGAAGACTATCAAATAGGCTTCACAAAAAAACTCTCTCTTCTTGATTGGTGGTCTGAAGATTGATGCATCTAATTGGCTTGAAAGACTGTTCTTACATAGCCTTGAAGATCTCAGCTCCTTGCTGGCTAAGGAATAAGAGTTCTAATAGGAATAGAAGTCTACGTGTCCTAAAACCTAACAAGAGTTCAAGTAGAAATAAACGTCTAATATGATTGGTTGTACAAAGTCTAATGTAAGTAGGACTTTTGATCAAAACAAACCAACCTAAAAAGAACTCCCAAAGCAATATAGATTTGAGTATTCGAGGCAACCTATAAAAAATGCCCATTATGTTATCTCAAAGATGAGACTCTTGATCATTTGCCCATCTCTTATGTTTACATTAGAAGTATTTGGTGAAGAATGAATTATGTCGTACCTTGAGCCTTGTCCCTTGCCAAATGGTTTGACTAGTAGTTGAATCCACCTTTCAACTTTCATACAAAACTTCCTCACAATTATTTTTACTACGACTATTTCTTGGTTCATTTAGAAGACCCGATGTGAAGATATTTTTGTAGTTGGAGTCATCGCCTACAACTATCTTGAACATCATCGCTTCTCCTTCGGACCTTTGGTCCTCCTCTAGCTACTCTTTGAATGGAAGCTGATGATTTTCTAATTATTCTCCTCCTTGCCTTATCTACACGCTGGATGGATATCAATTTAGAATCTGACTGTCTTCCTCTGGTTCTTGATGCTTTACAGAGCGATCGTCGACCCTCAGCACCTATCTTGCCCTTTCGATGATTGTTGTCCTCTTTTCAAAGATTTAAACTTTTCCTTCATTCTTCATATCCGGCGCACAGGTAACGCTTACGCATATGATTTAGCTCATTTTGCTTGTAGATACACTTTTTTCTCGTACTCTTCAGAAGGTCTTGTTGGAAGCTTTGTTCATGAAAAGGCAATTTTGCCTTTGTGAATAGTCACACGTTGAAAAATGAGATGAATAGTAAAGGGTATATAATGGTTCTCTCTTTATTGTGCTTTGAATAGTGTTTTGGGTTTTGTAGGCTTTGCATATCTACCACGCGCGCGCGCAAGCACGCCACGCCCGCACGCGCGCCACGCCACGCCTCACACGCACACCTTTTTGCTTCTCAAGCTTTTATTTTTGCACGTTTTACACGTTCTGTAACGGCTGCATGCGGGTAACGGAAGCAAAACTTGTGCGTAACGGTCCCTTGGATTCAGCGGGGGTTACACCTCTCATCACCTATAAAAGCAGGCTTGGAGCTCATTCAGAAACACACCAACGAAGAGGAAAACTTCTAAACTCTCTTCTCTTCTCTACTCTCATACCTCCAAGAAATTTCGGCTACATATTTATATTTCTATTTGCTGGGCAACCGTTTTCGTCTGAGCATAAGCTCTGTGACTCACGCCCGAGTGCAGAGGCCGGCCGATTCCGGGGGTTTTTACCGTTAGGGGAGAGAGGACAAATTACGCCAGGGCGATAGGCGGGTCCTTAATCTTCTAGGGCAGTGATATCATGACTGCTCCCGATCAGACCTGAATTTTCTAACTCTTTAATTTGTTTTTATATTATTATATTCATGTTTTGACACCATGTCTAGACTATACACGTAATCAAAATATTCTTGATGCCCTAAAAAAACTAACTTTCGATTATCTTTTTTTTTTCTAGTCTTATTAAACGGATTGACATGGCGCTCTGGGGGTAGCTGCGCTCCTAGAAATTCCGATATTACTTATTTATCCCCTTGTGGAATTAAAATCTTTTCCCCGTAATTTAAGCAATTTGCACACCAGCCCTCTCAGACTTGTTTGGATTGAGGGGAATGAGGGTGAAGGAAAGTTAGGGGAACCATTCACCTCCATTCACCTTGTTTGGGAACACTTAGGAGGTTCACCCTAGTTCCCCTTGGTTCACCCCCTAATAATATAAAAATTGTTACCCCCAAATTGGGGTGTAACCAAGGAGAAGAGAACTTCCTTCCCTTTTCTTCCCTTCCCTTCACTCAGTTTCCCTTAACTCCCCTTCACCCCTCCAAATCCAAACAGGCCAGCCTATTCCTTAGGGCCGAGTAATCAAAGCCCAAACACTTAAAACCCAAAATGCCCAAACAAGCACTAGACCCAAAACCCAGTACCCAGCGTCTACTCTCTCTCTGGATCGCGTCGGGACTTGCTTCCTCCATCTCCAGCCGAGCCTCCTCATCGCCTCCTTGAATCCCTCCAATTTCCAAGCCCTAGGTAAATGTCTGCAAACCGACAAAACTCATTAAATAAAGACCCTAATTAGTTCTAATAGGAAGATATCAGCTTTTTATACCAAGGAAAAGAAAATGTTGGGAAAACGGTAGAAGAGATAGGCTTGCACGGTGGCGAGTGTACTGTGGATTTTAATTTTTTTTTAATTTCTATTTTTCGCTTGCTTAAAGAGTTATGAATGAATCAATCATGATGCTTTGATGTTTCGTAAGAGAAACACATGCACTTCATGTTAAATTTAGTCTTTCTCAATGATGATTCTTTGATATTCCCTGTAGCTTTAATATCTATATTTTATTGTTAGGTAAATAGATACTTGTCGTCTGCCCCCCAAGCAATTTTTTTGTGAACCCACCATTGAAAGATAAAAACCCTAGAAGAAAAGAAGAAGGAGAAAAAAAATGTTCTTCCACATTCAATTAGAGCGCAACATGCAACTCCACCCCCGCCATTTCGGGCCCCACCTCCGCGACAAGCTCGTCGCCAAGCTCATGAAGGACGTCGAAGGCACCTGCAGGTCTCTCTTCTCCCCTCTTCGCAAACCCTAAATAATTTTTGGTATAAATATCAAGTTGTGCCCTTCTCAAAATCCAATTTTCTCAATCAAAAGCGGACGTCACGGGTTTGTCGTTGCTATCACTGGCGTCGATGACATTGGAAAAGGCCTCATCAGGGAGGGCACTGGATTTGTTACTTTCCCTGTTAAGTATCAGTGCGTCGTTTTCAGACCTTTCAAAGGGGAGATTCTTGAAGCTGTAGTTACTATGGTCAATAAGGTCCGGTTTTTATTGTAAAGTTTGGATCTTGTTATTGATTTTAGTTGAAATTTAATGGGGCTCTTATGAGTTTGTTTGTGATTTTTGTGCAGATGGGTTTCTTTGCGGAAGCGGGGCCGGTGCAGATCTTCGTGTCGAATCATGTGAGTTTTTGGGTTCTGATTTGATAGAGTTGTGAGCTTTTAAGTTTTTGTTCGAGTGAAGTTTTGGGTTTCCCCCCCAAATGTGCTGAAATATTCATTGAACAAAGAGGTATAATGTTTAATAAGTATATATTGCTTCTCAACTGAGCAACTTTGAATGATCAGTGCTGCAAATTTTGTCGAGTGAGAATTATTGTTCTCGTTGTTATCCTTTGGATAGAAGATTTATAAATTATTCATAAGGTTTTGGTTTTGACTATTTTTCGTCTTTTAAATTCATGCTCATCTAAAGTTTAGGTTTTCTCAAACTTGGAACTGATCTTTTTTTAATAAACAAAACAGAAATCCACCTGCAACCCCGTTAGTTTAGCTGAAATATCAGCAGTAACATTAATATTCAAGTTACTTACTGTACTTCATTGAGGAAGTTAAATGACTAACTTTGATCAACTTTACCGAAATTAACATGAATACCAAAGAAGTGATTTCACATTGATGAATTTTTTTAGCCATGAGGTATTATAGAGTATTGTCTGATTTTGTTAAAGACAAATGCATGTCACAACCCTGAAGGAAATTTGAGATTTATACATTGCCTTGGTCCTTATTCTCTGTAGGCCTTCTTGTATTTTCTGTGGTACTATATAGTTACAGGCCTATAGCAGATGTGTTGAAAATAAAATATTGAAAATTGCATTCAGTTGAAGCATCATCATTCAATTTTTCTCAACCAACCTTACTATGGAGCGTAACTTAGGCTGACACTTAGTCGAGCTAGGTTTAGTGGCTGATTGGCAAACTATCTATAACATTTAGGTCTACAAACAGAACACTTTGTCATGGTATTGAATGTAGAATGTAGTGTATTTCTATAAGCATCACTGCCTCTCTTAACTGTTGCATTTCTGGTCTTTTAGTTGATCCCTGATGATATGGAGTTCCAATCAGGAGATGTTCCGAACTACACTACATCAGATGGATCGGTAAGTCTCCATCTTTGATCTTCTTGCTCAAATTGATTTCATACTTGCAAATGAAAATGACTCTTTGAGTCATATCTTTGGGTGTGGTTGGTAACTTGGTATCATACAATTGCTTGTTCTTTGTGTTTGCACTAGAAAATTTGGAGTTAGCTATTGCTTGAAAAGAAAAATAGGTGGACTAGTATGTTCAAAATTTTTTTATCATTCATTTCACATCGTGTCTAGAGCACACTTGCGCGATTCCTTGGACTCCCTCTAAACGTGGTGCAGTTCTGCCGATCGATTCCTACTACATTTGCAAACCGATTCTCTCCAATACACGAATTGGTTCCAAAATTGGATACCGCTTACAAGTATGCTTACAAGTATGTGGGGTGTAAAGCTCCTCTAAGTGCACATGCGCAAGACGCAATGCAATGTGCGCAATTAAGTGAAGGGAGACACGCAATAAAATATATAAGTCAATGATTTTACTGTAACTAAATATCTATGTTAATAAAACGTGAAATGAAACTATGATTCCAATATGAGCTTGTGAAAAGAAAAACAACCACCAAAAAATGATTTCCATAAAAAAGTAGCATTTAAGTATTTGTATGCAAAAATATTGAAATGCATAATTAGCTTTCTATTTTCTAATTTTCTATTATACACTTTAAAAATGGTAAGTGCACTCAATGTATCACTAACGACTTGCGTACTGAAGCAAGTTACACCTGCTCGAATCTAAGTTTTCTAAGAGGCGAATTGCATAACCGAATTTGTACCACAACTTGCTATGTGTTGCATATTGTGTAACTATGGTCTAGAGATCAGTATATAATCAGGGGGCAAGAAGAAATGAAAGTCTTATGGAAACCAGACCCTGTAGAAGAACCAATAGAATATGTAATTACCAAATACTCTAGAGTTGATATATGTTTATCCTAAAATTTCCATATTACATCCACAATCTTTCCTGAAATGAGATTTGACACACAACAAAATAGATTTTGAAAAGCAGCTTATACATAAAAGCTTCTTGAATAGGGGTCTGCTCAAACAATTGTCACTCAAAATTCCTAAGATTTATGTGCACAAACACAAATTTATACACATGTATAATGTATTATGGTCCTGCTAGTGTATGTTTTCGCTCTTCTATTTTCTAATATAAGTGCATATACAACATGGCCATAGGCATTCATGTCGTGAGCTATAAGCATTTTCTTTATGTTGCGCGCATATCCAAAAAAGATAAGTTTCGGGTTTATCTTGCACCTACTATTTTATTTAATTGGAATGCAAATTGGACCTTTGATATATAGAAGGTCCTGTGAGTCAAAGCTCTAATATCATGATAACCTAAAACCCGCCTTGCAAGATTTCAAGGATAAGGACTAATGTGGAATTTGGATTTAAAATTTGTTAAGTTCTTTTCTCGTTTAACAGAAAAAAATGTGGAATGTCAAGAAGAATATATCGAAAAGAGGATTATAAGACGGAATTACTGAATTATCGTCAAAACTAACCTTTAATCCAGCTCCACCTACTATAAAGGTTTAAAAAGTCGAGTGAAAAGACATTGGTGATGAAGTAACGAGACCTTAATCTTTATAAACAAAACTAAATCCGTTCAACTCTAGATATCGATTAGAACTCTCTCCAGGATAGAGATAAATTGTCAAAAATTAGTCCTGACCAGCATTGTAAATTTTACATATTTGTGAGCTTGAATGCCACAATATAACGGTAGATTTGATATGATTTGACATACATCATTTTCATTAACTATCCTCGACATGTCGGATTTGATTTGACATCACATGCTATTTACCCAAATGTCTTTGACATGGTATTTTTGCATATGAATTATAAGTTTTTGCTTGTTCATTATATTCTTATTCATTTGTTATGTTAATTGATTATAAATTAGAATGTACTATGTATGGATCTTGTTGTATTTTTTTGTTTATTTTAGTGTATAGTATTTTCTTTCGACATGCAAATAAAATCAAGAAATTGTGAATGCTTGTCCTATCGGTCTAACTTGCTGTGATGCTTTGCAGGTGAAAATTCAAAAAGAGTGTGAAGTACGATTAAAGATAATTGGAACCCGTGTTGATGCCACGGAAATTGTATGTCTTTCTGCATCTATTTTTTCCATTTTTTTAGTACTTTTATAGATTTATTCTTTCTAACCTGCTAATTGATATTCCATGCTAGTTAGTTTTCTTATGAGCTATATCATCAGTAACTGACCCTCTCTTGTCTTTGCTGTTGACTGTGTTTAGTTGAGTTTGCTGATACAGCATTTTTGAACAATCTTACCCTATTTGAAAATCATGTCTTGTGTGTGGGCGTCACCAGCATATGCTTGCCTTTTGTTTGTTGATGTATATGAACTAATCATATAAGCACGTTATCACATATATTATTATTCAAATATTAGGGTTTGTCACATTTGGTTCTCATTGATAGAATGTTGGCTTATATAGCCTTACATAACAGGTTTACACAAAGGTCCTCTAAAAGTCCTTTAATTGCGTTCCATTCTCAACACTCCTCCTCAAGATGGGCGAAAGATATCTATTAAGCCTATCTTGTCACACCCTCTAGCTAAATCTACTGAGCTAAGCCCTTTAGTCAAGCAATCTGCAGCCTGCTCCTTAGTTGGAACATAGCCTAACTCCAGTAGCCCACTGTTTAGCTTCTCCTTGATGAAGAATCTATCAATTTTGATGTGCTTAGTTCTGTCATGTTGAACTGGGTTGTTGGCAATGCTGATAGCTGAATTGTTGTCGCACCACAAACTCATCTTGGCCCATTGGTCAAGGTTCAACTCCACCGGCATGTTTTTCAGCCACATCAGCTCCGCAACCCCCAAGGCCATGGCTCTGTACTCAGCTTCAGCTGTTGATCTTGCCACCACAGATTGCTTCTTGCTTTTCCAGGAGACTAAGTTGCCTCCTACAAATATGCAATACCCTGAGGTAGACCTCCGATCATCTCCGCAGCTAGCTTAATCTGAGTCACAGTAGCCTTCAATGTTCACATGACCACTCCTCCTGAATCTTAGTTCTTTGCCAGGGACACCCTTTACATACCTCAGTATCTGGTACACAGCATCCATATGACCCTTCCTCGGGTCATGCATATAGCGGCTCACCATGCTGACCGCAAATGAGATATCTGGACGTGTGTGACTCAGGTAGATCAGCCTACCCACCAATCTCTGATATCTCTCACGATCAACAGGTTCTCCTGCCTCAGCACTCAGCCTGAGACTCTAATCAATCGGTGTAGTAGCAGGCTTGCACCCCAACATCCCTGTCTCTGTAAGAAGATCTAACACATATTTCCTCTGGGAGAGAACAATCCCCTTAGGTCCATGAGCTATCTCTATCCCAAGGAAGTATCGAAGCTGACCAAGATCCTTCACTTCGAATTCTTTGCTCAATCTTACCTTGAGCTGAGCAATCTCCTTCTCATCATTTCTTGTGATAATCATGTCATCCACATACACTGCTAGCATAGTGATGTGACTCGTACTTCTTCTGAAGAATACAGTATGGTTGGCATTGATCTGTCTGTATCCCATACCAACCATGGCTCTCCTAAACCTATCAAACCATGCTCGAGGGGACTGTTTCAGCCCATACAGAGACTTCTTCAGCCTACAGACCTTACCTATTGTCTGTCCTGTGCCACATCCAGGTGGTATCTCCATATAAACCTCTTCCACTAGATCTCCATGAAGAAACGTATTCTTCACATCCAGTTGTTGTAGTTGCCATCCACCATTTGTTGCCAGAGAAATCAATGTTCGAACAGTACTCATTTTCGCCACTGATGCAAAAGTCTCATCGTAGTCAATGTCGTATGTCTGGCTGTACCCTTTTGCCACCAGTCGTGCCTTATATCGTTCAACATTCCCTTCTGGGTTCTGCTTCACAGTAAACACCCACTTGCATCCCACTGCTCTTTTCCCTGCTGACAGTGTCGCTAACTCCCACGTTTGGTTCTTCTCAAGAGCCCCCAGCTCCTCATGCATAGCAGCCTTCCACTTTGGGTCCTTCTTAGCATCCCTCAAGAGCCCCCAGCTCCTCATGCATAGCAGCCTTCCACTTTGGGTCCTTCTTAGCATCCTGCCAGTTAGGTATAATAACATAATCTAATGATGCAATGAATGCTCCGTGTGAAGGGGATATGTGAGAGTAGGAAACAAATTGATCTAGATCCCAACCATATCTCTTAGGAGGATTTCCCGCATTACTACGAGTAGTCCTCCTCGCTGATATTGGTGTCGGGAGAGAGACAGGAGTAGTGGTATTACCTAGAGTGGAGGATGGTGTAGGTGTCTCAGGAGTTGGAGCAGAGCTGGACAAGGGACTACGCACTGGCACTGTAGGCACATCTAGCTCCTTCCCCCTCCTACTGTATGTAAGCAACTCCCCTTGAGCTGTAGGCCTAACACCCCTTGTCTCCTCCTCCTCCCCTTCGTCTTCATCCTCCTTCTCTACTGAGTACGGGATCAAAATTGTGATTGACCCCCTTGAGCTCTCACCATTCCCTCCCTCTTGCCTCGTACCTCCAGTATCGGGCAAGTCGCCAAAATGTGAAGTAATCCCCACTGTGTAGTACGGCTCGAGCTCCCGAAACCGCACATCCATGCTGACAAACAACCTTTTTTCCACCGGGCTCCAGCAGACATACCCTTTCTGGGTGCCATTGTATCCCACGAATATACACTTCACAGCCCTAGGGTCTAGCTTCCCAACCGATGGTCTGTTGTCCTTCACAAAGCACACACAACCAAATACCTTCAATGGTAGGGCCCCTTGTTATCTCCCTTCAGTGTCTTACGAGGAGACTTTCAGTCCAACACACTCGAAGGCATCCGGTTGATTAGTAAGCAGCAGTCAAGACTGCTTGTCCCCATAACACTTTTGGGACGTTCATTGCCATCATTATACTCCTAGCAACTTCTAGGAGATGTCTGTTCTTCCTCTCTGCTACCCCATTCTGAGCTGGGGTGTATGGGCATGTAGTCTGGTGTAGAATCCCCTGAGCTGACAGATACTCCCCAAGTATTCTGTTGGTATACTCTGTCCCATTATCCGATCTCATAATACTTTTTACTGCACAATACTGAGTCTGGATGTGCTTATGAAAATCTTTAAAACAGCCAACTACATCACTTTTGTTTTTCATAAGATACACCCAAGTGACTCTAGAGAAGTAATCAATAAATGTTACAAAAAACTTGCATCCATTTGTAGAATTTACTGGGTAGGGTCCCCATACATCAGAGTGTATTACTTTAAACTTACAAGAACTCCTACTACCCGAACTAACATAAGAGCTTCTAGTCTGCTTCCCAAACTCACAAGCATCACACTGCAACTTCTGTTTATTTACTTTTCCAAACAGAGTTGGATACATTTTACCCAAAATACTGAATGACGGATGTCCCATTCGCTGATGGTAAAGCATCAACTCATCTTCTGCACAGATTTTAGCTCCTCCTATTCCTGTCCTCTCCATCACAGAAGTCAACGCTGAGTCCATCCCTTTGCGGTCCAAGTACCACAGCCCGCTACGCCGTGTCCCAGTCCCAAGTCTTCGCCCTGTCCCTTTCTCCTAAAAAATTACCTTGGGAATGTCAAAAGAAACAATACAATTTAGTTGGATGATAATGGCACTAATGGATAACAGGCTAACAGGAAATGAAGGAGCATGCAGAACATTAGATAAAGTTATAGAACCTGTACAACTAACAGTGCCCTTACCAACCACATCCTGTGCTGTACCATCAGCAATTTGGATGCTCTCTGCTTCTGCTAAGTGAGCGTAAGATAAGAACTCACTGGAATTGCCTGTCACATGTCTGGATGCTCCAGAATCTATTATCCAGGCGGTGGATCTTCCCTCGTTTGGGTGTGCACTAAGGGCGTAATTGGCATAGTCCACTCCAGTGAAAGTAGTAGATGACTCCTCAGACACATCGCCTACTGCTTTCTGCTTCCTCCTCAGTGCTGCCAAGAGAGCCCGATCCTCATCAGTGAAGATCATCTCAGCTTCTTCTTCCCTTTCTGCCACTGTCAAGTTTGCCCGGTGGCCTCCTCTTCCCCCTCGCCTGCCTCCACGCCCACGGCCACGGCCTCCAGCCTGACCACGTTCACCCCAGTTCCTCTCCCTGGGTGGCTTAGGGCACATCTGTCTCAGATGCCCTACCTCTCCGCAGTTAAAGCACTGCCTAGTCTCTCCTCTGAATCTAGTGTTATCCGGCTTGGATACCACCAGTGCAGACTTCTCCCCTGTAAGTCCATCTATCCCAGACTGTAGCCTGATACGGTTCTCCTCCTGTATCATGGCCGAGACTGTCTCCTCCAGTGATGGGATCTTTGTCTGGGTTAGTAGCAACGCCGTTCTCTGCTCATACGCTGGAGCCAAGCCTCGAAGAAACAACATAGTCCTCTTCTACAAAGAGGCCTCGCGTTCCTTGCACCCCGGGTCCTTGCAGCTTGCCAGGGGCGAGAAGTGATCGTGATCGAGCCACAAACGCTCCAGCTCTGTGGCATATTCCTGTACAGTCCGCTCTCCCTGGACTGTAGCGTTGATCTCTTTCTCGATCTGGAATACCCTTAAGTTATTTCTCACCCCATCGTAGGTCCTCCTCAGCTTCTCCCATACATCATGCACTCTCCCAAGGTCATCCACTGTGGCAGCAATTGGCTGGACTACAGAATTCAGAAGCCAGATATACACCAACATATGAGTGGACTTCCACTCATCCCTCCCTGCTGAGTCCTCAGCCGGCTCAGTCTTCTCCCCTGTCAGATATCCCTCTAGGCTCCTCCCAGCAAGGGTATATTTCACCCGGCGCGACCAACTCAGATATGTCGCGGGTCCATCAAGTTTTACATCGATAGGTGGAAGCTCCACCTTCTTGGGTTGTGGCTTTGTCGAGCTCTCTCCCGCCGACAACTTCATCAGTTGCATCAGTGTTGAGATCTCCTCAGGATTCAACTTCTTGATGATCCCTTCCATCGGATTTTTGCCAGTCTCCGTCATCGATCCAACTTATATTTTTGTGTGCAGTGAAAATTTCGGCAGCACTTCGACAGCACCACAAGAAAGATAGATCAACAAGAATTCCTGTTTCACCAAGGAAACAAGAACC